ATTGTTTATCCAGTTTTTGACCTTGCTATGACTATTGGATTTTTGGACTCTTGAGATTTTTTGTTCCTTTGGTATCTTGTGGTTTTTTTTTTTTGTTGTTTTTTTTGTTACCCATTAAACCTGCTTGGATTTACTTTTGGATTTTTTTTTATTTTTATTTATTTATTTTTTTTTTTTTTTAATTCTCCTTTGGCTCTATCTGCCATTTTGAAGCTTGCCTTGCCCGTGTGGTGCAAGGGTAAAGCATCAATCTCTCACCCCAGAGACCGGAATTTGAGTCCTGCTCCTGACAGCCATATCTGATTCCACCTGTTTAATCAGTTGATACTGGTTTTCAATAGACTCAGGTGTGGCTTCTGCTTGACTGGAATGAAAACCTGCATTGACACCCCTGGCATATACTATAAATATACCATTGGGGCAGTGGTGGCTCAGTGGTTAGCACTGTTCAAACCAAGTGGCTTTGTCATTTCAACCATATACAGCTAGTTAGAATACAATGAAAGGAAACAATGTTCCTCCAGGACCAAGGTGCTACATAAAACAAACACAGAGCTACAGGAGACTACATATATTTACATAAAGTGCACAGTGCAAACATGTGCAGACAGCACAAGACAGTACAAAACTACCAAAACAAGACAATGGGCACAGTAAGTTACTGTGCAACTCCGACTAGTACGCAGTGCTAGTAGAAAGTGAATCAGATGACAGTAGTGCAAAAGAGTAACAATATAAGAAACTGTTGCAAAGTCTGGTCGTGAGGGCCCGAAAGCTTCGGTACCATTTGCCAGACAGCAGGAGGGTGAAGAGTTTGTGTGAGGGGTGCATGGGGTCATCCACACTGCTGGTGGCTTTGCAGATGCAGCATGTGGTGATGGAAGGAAGAGAGACCCCGATGATCTTCTCAGCTGTCCTCACTATCCGCTGAAGAGTCTTGCGATCCGAGACAGAGCAATTCCCAAACCAGGCAGTGATGCAGCTGCTCAGGATGCTCTTGATAGTCACTCTGTAGAACATGATGAGGATGGGGGGTGGGAGATGGGCTTTCCTCAGCCTTCACAGAAAGTAGAGACGCTGCTGAGCTTTCTTTGTTATGGAGCTGGTGTTGAGAGACCAAGTGAGGTCCTCCGCCAGGGGAACACCAAGAAATTTGGTGCTCTTGACGATTTCCACGGAGAAGCCGCCGATATTCAGCGGAGAGTGGTCACTCTGTGCTCTCCTGAAGTCAACACAACCATCTCTTTAGTTTTGTCCACATTCAGACAGGTTGTTGGCTCTGCACCAGTCCATTAGCCACCGCACGTTCTCTCTGTATGCTGTATTGTGTTAAATGCTAAACTGAAGTCTATGAACAGCATTCGAACATACAGTATGTGTCTTTTTTGTCCAGGTGGATGAGGGCCAGATGGAGAGTGGTGGTGATGGCGTCCTCCGTTGAGCGGTTGGGACGATATGCGAATTGCAGGGGATCCAGTG